GTTAGACTCTAGTAAATCTTTATTTTTTGGAAGTTAAAGGAAGTTTGCAGTTTTAATCAAACCTATAAAGAAACTCTAAAATAAAACATCACGAACAATGCAAAAGTTTTATATTTCACAAAGGAAATAAAGATACGTAGCAAAAGTGAGATGGGTAAATCGATAATAACGAAAAATACTCACAATTTATTGGCAACTCGCCCACGTTTGATTAATTAATTGAGAAAGGATATTGAAGAAAAGATAAATTGCATTGGTATAAATGTTTTTGCACAATGGTTTTATTAAATACTACTCACAAAATATGCATTAATCGCCTGCTTACCGAATTCAAAGAATTAACAGCATTTGACCTGGTCGTCTGCGCAGCCTTAGCGACTTGTCTGTTAAGACGAAGTCCTTCGTATTCCCGAATATTTCGATCGAACAGGCTGAGCAGGAGATTAGAATCAGTAGCATCCACGGCCTGTGAAATCATATTGCCTTTATCTAGCAATGTGGAAACTCCAACAGTGATAAGGCGCGGTGTAGGAAGTGTGCTGACTGCAGTACTGACTAAGCCATTACGATAATGTGCCCACTGCTCCTCCAAAATGCGATTCGCTTGTTCAACAGCTTCTCGAGAAACAAACTTATCCAGCAAATCGGCCGGCGTCTGCACTCCAAAGGACGACTGGGCTGTGTGTTGTTGTTCAGTATCTGTAGCCCGATGCACACGAGTCGGCGGTTCATCCGTGCTAACACCATGCTCTACAGTGTAGCGTTTCTCTTCGGAAGCCTGAGAAGCTTGGCTACGTGTAATGGGCGCCTCCGTCAGACTTGCTTGCTCTTGAGTAGCCACGCGGTCAGTCAAACAGGATATCGAGCTCATCACTGGGCGAGCATGGGCAGCTTTATTGAAGACGACAGGAGGCTGACGGACCAGAACATCTATGGTATCATCGCTTACACCAACAGAATGCAGGAATTCTGAACCCGTGCTAGTGGCAGCGTGTGCTATTAGAGGATAGGCGTCAACTCCAACAGAAAGAACATTTTTGGCA